CATTGTCCCCAGACCTCCCCCCCACTCCCCCTTTTTTTACGAAATAAAGTAACAGTCCCATCTACTTATTTAAAAACCAACTGTTCAATATCATTTCTCTATCTATTCTCTATATTAAGACAGATCTGATGATATAAGAACATATGTAGCAGGGTAATCAATTCCTTATTGTTCATCACAAGATATAAATTCCTCAACAAAGCTAACTACTCTACCTATTTTTGTTATATTGTTGAGCAAATTGAAGGCACTGCATTTCCAGACAAACATTTAGTTATATCTTGGCTATGTTGTTGTTATTCTTTTTATCATCTCGCTGTTTTTCAAGCTACTTGCAACTAGTGACTTCACAAAGCGGCTCTATTATGTTTTAGCTATTTCATTTATTTTTTGTTGAATTATTTCATACAACCATTTAATTGTATATCCAAGTTTCTCTATCTTCTAAACTATTTTCAATAATTTCAAGTTTGTCTTTTTTTATTTTGAAACCTATTCTGAATCAAATTACAGTATAGCTATAGCTTCGGTGCTTTATAGCTTTATTTTAATTTATTAAGGGAAATTTTAAGCTATTAATTTATCTATCTATCTATTTTATAGCCTCCCTATTTTATATCCTTTTTGTTTCTGTTAAAATGAACCTTTTCAATAACCTCAAGTGTATATTAAACATTTTTTGGTAAATGATTGGAGAAAGAAAAAGAAATTCCATTTGCTCTTGGTAATGCTCTTTTTCCATTTGCTCTTCAATTCCACTCAGCTTTCAACTCTATAAAGCTCTCAGTGCCAAAGAGGCAAAACAGGAAGGTGGACATGAGTGACACCACTTCCCATAAGCTTTTCTGTATTTTTAACTGTTTGCTTCCCAACTCAGGGCAGCAATAACAAATGACGGTATATTATAAACCATCCAAAGTTTGACTTGAAAATTTGGTATATTTATGTCACGCTGCTCAGCCAGTCTGTTTTAGCCAGGGCAGTGAAAACAGTTGTCCTGTGTATCCTGTGGAAGCCCGTGTGGGGGTACCGTCATGTTTAGAGGTGCAGGAAGTGACAATGTGCAGCAACCCCCAGAGAAAGTGTTTGCCACACATCCTCTGGCCATTCAAATTTGCAGGAAGTAGAGAATGCAGTAAGGCCTTTAGGTTTTATCACATTTATCTCCTTTAGTGCAGGAAGAACCCAATCCTAATGTGTGGTGAAACCACAGTTCTTTCTGGGTCCATTAAAAAAGCTGCACAAAATACTGTAATATCCATTAATTCTATGTCTATTTGGAATAATTTGTCTAATGGAAAATTTTAGTCTGCTGAACAAAATGCCTGTGATTAAAAAAAAATAAAATAAAGTGGAATAACTGTAAACTGACTGTTTCATCCTTAGTTAAAGGAAGAACACGTGATTCACCACACGTGGCTATTTATTATTTCAGGTAACAAAAATCAACTGTTCTCTATTGTGTAATACTAATTATAAAAAAGGAGAAATATATGTTTATAAATGTTATTTATGTTGAGGATTAAGCCTCATATGTAAAGATGCTCTCCTGTCTGTGCAGCTGGCACGGACAGCACCAACCTCACCCTGCTGGTGGGCTTCCTCAGTTTGGTAACCGTCCAGTCCAACAACTGTCTGTCTAGCACAGAGAAGCTTACATTCACCGTTTGACCACAATTCATACCATAGCATCTGGGCACGGAGCTGGGCCTGGCTGCTGGAGTGGATGTTCTTTATCGCTGTAGCCAGTCCAACTGCTGTCTCTGTCCCTCCCTTCTGCAGGCAGCTCCCAGCTACTGGCGACAGATAAGCACAAGGGCCCACAGCAGTGCGGGGTTTTAAGGACAGCAGCTCTGTAGTTTAGCAACAGTGTGGAGAAATACAGAGCTTATTACTTGAAACAAAAATGTGGGTTTCTTTTTTTTTTGTTATGTTATAGGATGTCATCCTGGCTTTTACATTTTATTAAGCAGTGTAAAAAACAAACAAAACAAAAACTAAATACCATTTGAATAAGCATTCAATAAAATTAAAGTTTAAAAACAACAAAATGTGTACGTTGTTAAACTAAATAGTGCAGTTGCGGCAGGTTTACCTCAGGATCACAGACCATTTATATGTGACGAACTGTATCAGATACAGTATCAGAGAGAGCGTTGATGCACTGGTGGACTGTGTTACGCAACAATGATTTCTCACTAGTCCTAAGCTCATTTGATTATGTTCATCACAGTGAGAAGGTGGTTTATAATACAATACTGCCTACAGCTCAAAGGGTATGCAAATGTAGTGGTGGTGTCAGCCTTTGGCCAGTATACATTTGTTGAAGTTCTGCTTTCTGTAAAAGTATCAGTGTTATTTTTGACGAGTACAAATACAGTATGTAGTACACATGTGGTATTTCAGAGGCTGTCTCCTTTGAACAAATCTAATCCTTGAAATATTGTGACTTGACTTTACTTTCCATCATACACGCCTTCATGTTACAGTCATGTACTGTGGCCTTGATCTCAAACACTGAATGATAATGTAATAATCGTGATTATAGGTTGAGTTATGTTCCAGAATACCGCTCAAACGACCTGTTTAATTGTATGTCAACTCCTTCAATCTTCTGTCTGGTCGACACTGTGGTGAAGACAGGCGTGTAATGAGCTCATTAGTCTCAGTCACGACCCACGACCCACGACCCAGCTGCAATAATGGCTCACAGAGGAGAACGGAGCAAAGCTGTCGCTTTAAGACCCATTTCCCCCCATTGTCAAACAGTCGTGAGCAGGAAGAGGGAAACGAAAGCACAGACACCGCGAGGGGCCCGACGTATTTAAACCAAACACACTGCTGCTGCTGGTACACAGATAACGGCGGGTTGGAACGTCTGCAGCAGGATCGAGCCCAGAGGAGACATACAGCCGACCCAGAGAGACCCAGAGGTCCGGGAAGATCCACACATGTGACTGCGTCTGATCGGAACAACCATGGTTTGATTCATGAAGTCGCCGCAAGGAGAAAGAATACATCTAAAAACCAGCAAGTGTCACCTCTGAAATTATGACAGTATCCTCCATCATCCTCATCTCAGGTTCATGGTCTGCGGGCATTTCCAACGCAGCTGTCCGCCGGTATATTTGACACAGGCAGCCCAAATAGCAGTGAGAGAGCGGTGTTAGTGGCAGCAGGTGCAGGTGCAGAGGTTCGGCTCCCGTTTGCCGGTAGGCTGCTTCACCGGTGACCGCAGAGCAGGCTGCTGATCCCGAGCCCGAACGTCGGATGGCAGGAATGGCTTCTACTATAGAGAGGAAGACCCTGGAAACCAATGAGTAAGTATCCGAGGAATTCTTGAATATTCTTTTAAAAAACTATAAAGATGACTGCAAAGCCGTTTACTGTCCCACATAATAATAATATAATAATAATAATAATAATAAACATCATTATTATTATCATTATTAAAATTAAAACTATAGCTAAGTAAAATAATTTTGTACTAAACCACTCCAAAAATAACAATGATTGTTGGCAACTTTACATTTTTAAACTGTGCTAAAGCACCGTTAAAGTTGCACCAGCAGATTTCCATAAAACAAATATTTAAATATTTAAAATTCTTTTCAGTCTTTTTCGAGTTTAGAAAAAAATATTTAGTCATCAGTCTGGTTTCTTCCCTCGATCTTTATTTTCTTCTTTTTAATTTCTATTGCAAGTGAACAGGACGCCCTCTATAGGAAATAGAATAAACAATACGAAAAATGAATCCAGTAGGTGCAGGTATTCAACTCACAAGAATCAGAACTGTGTGTAAACCCCAGACAAAACTAATAGCAGGGTTAGCCTAGCCTGGCCTTGGTGAAGACTGACTCTTACTCAGTTAATCTATGTAAATACATTTTTTTTAAAAAATGTGTAAAAGCTCTTCAGGAGATCTACTGTTTTTTTTTTCTTTTTGTCTTTGCAGCAGAGTATTTGATCCTCTAACCACCTGTATTTCTCCTGTAGGGAGCCGGTGGATGAGGTCCTCCAGATGCCCCCCTCTTTGCTGACATGTGGTGGGTGTCAGCAGAGCATCGGTGACCGGTTCTTCCTGAAAGCCATAGAGCAGTACTGGCACGAAGACTGTCTGAGCTGTGACCTGTGTGGCTGCCGGCTGGGGGAGGTGGGCCGTCGACTCTACTACAAGCTGGGCAGAAAACTATGTCGACGAGACTACCTCAGGTTAGACGTTTTACTACGTACTTTGTGTATTGGAAGACACGGGACATACAGTACTGTGTGTCAGGTGTCTTTGGCATAGGCTAAGGCATTGGTTCCCAAAGTAGGGGCACACACCCTTACGGGGCAGGGAGCTATTGCAAGAGGGACAGCGAGGCAAATTGATTTCAATTTCACCATTTTCTTTATCTGTGCCACAGTAGGAAACTCGTACTGACTTGTCAGTTGTTGATATTGCTGCCCAGACTGACCATGTGACCTTCTCTCGTTTGTTCAGGCTCTTTGGTCAGGATGGTCTCTGTGCTTCCTGTGAGAAAAGAATTCGAGCCTTTGAGATGACAATGCGAGTTCGGGACAAGGTTTATCACCTGGAGTGCTTCAAGTGTGCCGCCTGCCAGAAACACTTCTGTGTGGGTGACCGATATCTGCTTATCAACTCAGACATTGTGTGTGAACAGGACATTTTTGAGTGGACCAAACTCAACAATAACATGGTCTAGGAAAATCCTGGGTCTAATCAGTGGATTTGAAGGAAATTAACCTTCAACTTCTCTATAGGCTTTAGCAGCTTAGCCAGGCGTCTGACCTTCATGTGGATGCATTCACCCTGCTGGAGACTGAATGAATTGCACTTGCAACACCAGACAATGTGGGGTTTTCAAATCATGCAATAACACCTTTGTTATAGATACTGGAGTTTTTAGCAGTAACAAAATAAACCATGAAGTCATCATGAATTTATAACCAGCTGTTCAGTCCTGTTGTTCTGATTATTTTATTTATACTGTTCAGTCCTGTTGTTCTGATTATTTTAAATTAACTATTTCTATGCAATTAAAGATTTTTTATATGTATTGTCAATAGATATGCCCACCAACATTTTTTACTAATGATTGACAACACCTGTCTGCCTGTTGGTGGTAATCAAGTTTTAAGAAAACTGTTAAACTTATAAAAATATGTTAAACAATGGAGTAGTGCTTAGTATTATCATCCTAAAGAATCAATGTCAACCATAACTGCTGTTCAAATTCCAGTTTATTAAAAGGCCCTTTAATGTTGAGCTTCCATTTCTTACCTTTTCTCTATGAAACAAAGTAAGTTTCTTTACATTCATTTACACCACTGTAGTAGACTGGTGACCTGAATGAATTAAAAAACCTAAAGGACTTGTCACAGACCTGAGAAATAAAGAATTTCCCCCTTTTTTCTCTGAATGAACTAAAATATCTGTGTTGTTTCTCTGTACTCTTGAATCAGCACTCTTGACTCTGTACAGTATTAGCTTTTTAAAAATATACTAAGATTTTTTTAAAAAGCTAATTAAAAGTGAAGGGAAGAAAGAGATGTGGATGAAGTAATTGTATGTTCATTTATAGATATTCCTGTATATATATCATATCCCTGTTGGTAAATAACTTTATTTTAAAATCTAAAACATTAGGAAACCTATGTAAATAATTTGTAATTTTTAAAAAGTTTTCACTCAATAAGGGATGAGTTTGGACAATGAAAGACCCCACACTGACTCCTTTAAACAGATTATGGTGTATATTGTGTATAAATATTGTCAATTGTAGATATTTGTTCTCCTATAAATGTTAAACTTAAACAAACATCTGCATACAATTCCTAAATACCCACATTCCCAAAGTGGGGGGTAGGTCAAACTACCTATTGTGGAGCAGGAGGGGCTGGATAAGGCAAATAATAAAACAAATAATGATTTTTTTATTTGTGATACTGGTTTGGAATACTATTTATATTGTTAGTTCAGAATTACACTTTTGTAGGAATGATAGAGTTTTTCTAAAACTACCAATACTAATATTGACGACTACCTAGGTACAAAGACGGTGCCATGAGCAGACAGACAGTTCAGGTAATAACCGGCTAATCAGACTGTATCAGTAGGCATTATATGAGTTCCAGATCATCATGTATCACTATCTAAAAATAATTAAAAATATATATATACTTGAGGATTTAAAAAAGAACTGACAAAAGGAACCTGTTGAAAAGCTCAATCCAGAAAAATATTACTCACTGTCATAATCAGTCAACTTAGACACATCTCTATTTTTAGCCGGCAGCACCCTCTACTGGTATAAAGTCAGACCTCCTCATAGAATCCATCCTTCCACATTTGGGGTCACCAGCATCTCAGTTCATCACTCCATCAGAGCCACACCTCTCGTGTGTTCCTTGACAAATATTGTTCTCACTGAACCCTTTTTAAGAGTTGTGAACGGAGCTGGAGAGAATCCCAGCAGCCTTTAGTCAAAGGCAGGGTACGTCTTGAACAAAATGCCAGTCCATGTCAGGGCCACCTATAGAAACTAACAACCATTCACACTAACATTTGTACCTATGGCCAATCTAGAGAGTCCAGTTACCACAATCCTGCATGTTTTTGGAAAAAGGAGAAATCACAAAGACAAGATGGGAAACATGCAAGCTCCGCCCACAGAGACAGAACATTTGTTACCACTGGGGATCCAGCTGCTGATCTTCTTGCTGTAAGGCAAGAGCTCCAAACACTCCCTTTGTGATTTTTAAGAACAGTAATTAATACAATATTGTATGTTTAGGAAGGTTGAGTCCAGCACAACGTAAGTGTTTCTTTAACTTTGTCTCTAACTTCCTGTAGGCAGTTCACTGGGTTTAATGAAAATGCAGACTGAGGGGAGTCCAGGTCTCATCTCATGACATTTGCACACAACACACTGGCCTGTAGAGACACCGGTTTCAGCCAAGTGTTCCATAGGTCTGCTCTCCTCTGTTGCCTTGCAGGCTGAGTTTTGCCAGAGCACTGGCCTGACTAAAACAGCAGCCTCAGAGAAGCTGAATAAAGCCCTGTGCTTCTTGTGTCATCCCTACCAGCTGTACACAAGGCCGGGAGTGTAGTGTTGTGTTTGTGTGCCGAGTGAGGCCTGTTTCATCTCCAGTGCCCATGTCAGAGAAGTCCCGAACGGATAAAAACATCCAGCTGTGTGCATGGAAACCAAGGAGACTTTTTAAGGATAAAACCGCAACAGGCTGCAGCTTGTTTTTATCAAACAGATCGCCCCACTAAAACAACCACCACACAGGAATCCAGTTCTGGTGTTGTGCGCAAGACGAACAGCAGGTGGCGTTTCTGTACAAGCTAAAAGGTAGTGTCTGGCAAGTAGTGTGTGTAAACTCTGTGTTATACCATTAGGGCAACATTTTGTTTCAGATTGACTGATGTGAGGACATCATGACTTTTATGATAATATTTCAGCCAATGAGACAAGGAATGTAATTTTAAAAGGGTAATCCATTACTTTAGGGTAAGTGTCGTTGTAAAAGTTGATAATAATCGTAAGGCTTTAGTTAAGATGGTAAGGATTAGGGTACAGACATGCTTTATATTCAGGAGTGGCCCTACAAATGCAGTGAGGCAAGCGTGTGTGTGAAAAGTGACAGGTACCATAAGTAGACGTGTTTTTCTAGAAATGTCCGTTTCAGAAAAGATTAATCATAGGTGAATTGAAGGGCTCCAAGCTTTATTCAAAACAGTCCAGACACGACAGTGAGAGTTCAACGGCACCAAGGAAGATGTGGTTAGACCATTATCTGCAGCACCACTGCAATTAATCATAGTGTGGCCTGTCAATGTCAAACCCATTGGGGCAAAATGAGTCAAGTACTATTGATCAAGCCCGCCTTGGGTTTCCCTTGCACTCAGACTTTATCAGATGCAGCTAATTGGGAACATATTTAGTCTGTGGTCCTGAGAAATGTGTCTGTCAGAAGTCACA